GGGGGGGTGGGAGGGGGCTACGCTGGGGAGGGGCAAAGACCCAGACCCAGACCTGTGCTGCTAGAGCTGAGGTGAATAATTTTTGTCTCCACATGGTGATATTAGAAATAATACGAGGTGTGGTGAGGCAGGAAGATCATTGGTAGTTTGAGTCTAGCATGGGCTACATAGCACTTTAAGCTGACCTGTGCTATATAGCAAACTTCAGACTGTTGTGTGCTGCTTAGGAGACCCTGTCTTTTAAAAAAGTAAAGAACAAAGAAGAGAAAAACCAGCCGGGCAGTGGTGGCGCACGCCTTTAATTCCAGCACTTGGGAGACAGAGGCAGGCGGATTTCTGAGTTCGAGGCCAGCCTGGTCTACAGAGTGAGTTCCAGTTCAGCCAGAGCTATACAGAGAAACCCTGTCTCGAAAAAAAAAAAAAAGAAAGAAAGAAAAAAAAAATGAAAAAAAAAAAGAAAAACCAAACAAACAAAAAACCCAAACCAAATCAACCAACCAAACAAACAAAAACCAAAAATAAGGCAAGTACACTGTAAGGTCAACTTTAGAAGCTAGTCAGGATGGTTGAGAGTTCAAAGCCAGCCTGGGCTACATAAGACCCCTTCTCAAAAATAAAAGAAAACGAAACAAAAACAGAAGGCTGCAGGAAGCTGGAAAGATAGCACAGCTGGAAAAGGTTCTTGCCACTCAGGCCTGGAAATCCGAGGGTTTTTTTTTTTGTTTTGTTTTGTTCTTGAGACAAAGTTCCTCTGTGTAGCGCTGGCTATTCTGGAACTTTCTTATATTTTTGGTTGTGAGCCTAGCCTTTAACAGCTGATCCCATCTCTCCAGCCCATGGAACTTTCTTGATAGACCAGGGTGGGTGGCCTCCAACTCAGATATCCATCTGCCTCTTCCAAGTGTTGGAATGAAAGATACATATCACCTGCTAGGTGGCAACCTGAGTGTGGTCCCTGGAATCCAGGTAAAGGTGGAAGGAGAAAGCCAGCTCCACACAATTGTCCTCTAACTTCCACACACACCTGAGGTACACACACACACACACACACACACACACAATAGTAATAACTTTTTTAAAAAATGGGCTGAGGATTAGCTCAGTTACTAGCACACATGAAGCCCCAGGTTCGATCCCTAGCACCACATAAACTTTGTATGGTGCTGCTAGGCTGTAATTACAGCACTGGGGATGCTGAAGCAAAAAGGTCAGAAGTTCAAGATCATCCTCAGCTATATAGTGAATTCTAGGCCAACCTTAGCTACATAGACCTTGTAGCAAAATGAACAACAAAAACCAGACAAGAAGAGCAACAGAAAAAAGAAAGTAAGGAAAAGTTGCAGCGTGGGACTGACTGAGCATTTAGGGTGGTCTTACTTTATCATCCTTGGAAGGAAACCACACCGTGTTGGTTTTAAGTGTGCCAAGTACTCTAGAGTTCAGAATGTGGGCGCTGGCACCCTCGCTGTCGGGGGACACCATGCACCATGCTACTCCAAAACATGTGAAGAGGTTTTTGCTAAAGATTCTTTATGATTGATCCCCATTAGAATCATACAACTTAAGAGACCATAAATAGGTCTCCAAACTTAGATAAGCAGGACTTGGGAGTCGTACTGGTTAATGTTTGGCTTTCTGGGCGTGTGATTGGCTGTCCTGTGAAAGCACGCCTTTTTTTTTTTTTTTTTTTTTGTTGTTGTTGTTAAGGAGATTGGAGTGACACTTCCTATAATGTTTAAGAACTTTTCCTGGCCCGGGATGGGGGCTCCGCAAGGCTTCAGCACCACAGACAGCGGTCTGGCGAGGTAGGAAAGCGCTGCTGGAAGCAGCCAGAGTCACAATACCATGCCTAACCTCATCTTTTTTGTTTTTGTTTTGTAAATTAACATTTTGTGTATGTCTGCTCGCGCGTGTGTGTGCGTGCATGAGTGCGCGCCATGGTGCAAGTGTGTAGGTCAGAGGACATTTTCAGGATTTTGGTCTCTTTCAACATGTGGCGCCTAGGAATCGAACTTACGTAGCCAATCTTGGGAGGCAGACCCTTTTACCCTTGAGCTGCCTCGGCGGCCCTGTTCTTATTCTTGTACGCCCCTTCAGGATCCGGTTTGTCCAGAGTGCGAATCAGCCTGATTTAACCAATCAAAAATGGCTCTGGAGAGGCCCAATTGCAAGCAGCTCTGGAGATTGAGCCAATGGGAGGGCGTACACGTTGGAGAGGGCGGGCTAACCACAATGACCCACACAGTAGGGGCGATGGCAAAGCAGGTTCCTAAGTGGCTTCTCTGGGGTTTGTAGGGTAACTCGACTGCCGTTCCCAAACGGTAACTCACCCTTGCCCCCGCGTTCCCCTTGGCTGGCAGTCTCTGCAGCCAGGTTACTCCTGGGGGCAAAGGCCCCACCGGGGTTTCCATGGAAACTGCCTGCTCCCATTGCCTGAGTGAGAGAAGGGCTCTTGGAGAGCTTAGATCAGCCCTGATAATTCTGTATCAGGTCGATGTACCCCCGAGTCCCAAGTGGGAATTGGGTCTTGTGCCATTCCATCGGGACCAATCTGCGCGTGGCGCCGCAGGGCTCCCAAGGGCATGTGCCAGAGCTCTCGGCTGTGCTCCCCTGGGTCACGTGGCAGCAACTATCCGGAATAGACAAATGGCTCTCGCACCACCTGGTGGTGGCACCTACTTTTCCACGAGTCTCCCTGCACGCAGTGGGTCTAAGGCAATTGTTATTCCACGGTGTCCTGTTCCAGAAACACATGGAGCCCTTCCACACAGGGATGGATTTCCTGTCATTCAGGCTCAAGGGCACTCCCTTCCTAACCCAACCCATTACTCTTAGTTTTTGCCTGGTGCTTGTCTACATTGTAATTTCCAAATGTTTAAGTTTAGCTCCTCCCACAATTCTCTGGGCCAGGAGTAAATATTCTCTGAGGCATGGGAGGTGTGGGCATCCGGATTCTAGTCCCTACCCTGTGGGAGCAGAGGCTAACAGGAAAGGTTCTTGTGTGTTATCCAAGAGCAGCCAACCCCAACCTAGCCTGGGTCAGGAAGGGAGCAGGTTAATTGGTCACAAATGGGTGCCCAGTGCCCACAATTATCCAAGCTTAGGTAGGGGAAGGGCAACTCCTTTTCCACTTTAATCTCATTCTGCGCTCTTGACACGGTTCAGCAGTGCAGTCCCATGTGCCAGCTCCATGGGTGGGATATGATGGGGCACCTGCCCGGGGAAGAATGGGAAATGCCTCCTTCCGGCCTGCGGTTGGGGCAGCCCCAGTGGCTGTCTAGGGCTCTGACAGGTCTGGACATAATGTCCAAGAGTACAAATAAATAGAGGCTGAGGTCTATGGGCATGGGCATGTCAGGTAGGTTTGTGGTCCGGGTGGCTTTTGAGCGTGTGGAACTTGACACTGTCCAGCTTCTCGAAGCGCTTCCCGCAGCGATCACAAGTGAAGTTGTACTGCACCTCAGCTGTGTGCTTCTTCATGTGCCAATTGAGCGAAGCACGCTGCCGGCACTGGTACCCACAAATCTCGCACCTGTGAGGCAGGAGAGGGGCCCAAGGGCAGGTCACCGCGGGCTGAGCCTCCCCTGCAACCCGCTCAGGTCACCTCCCTCCCGAGAGCCCGGGATACTCACTGCAGGGGCGTCTCCCCGGTGTGCGTGCGCCGGTGCACCTCCAGATGGTTCTTCCTCTTGAAAGACTTGCCACAGGTCTCACACGTGAACTCTCGGACGCCTGCAGGTGGCAGGGGCCTCAGGACCCTGCCCAGTAGAGGTGGCTACAAGGAGCAAGCTCCCCCACCCCACAACCCTGAGAGCTGACATCCACTAGTGACAGCAGCTAGGAGGAGGGCTTCTGACACAAGGTGTCAACTGCCAAGCTAAAATGAGCTCGCATATGACC